TTAATTTAGTTTAATCAAAAATAAATGCAAATACTTTTCTATACGATCTAATCGTTCATATTCGTCTTTAAGATATGAGTCTAATTGATTAAACAATTCAACTTCAGTGTTGAATAGATTAGTTAAATGTGTTGTTGATGTAAACGATTCACTGTGAACAAGTATTGATTTGACAAGAAAAAGATAAAAAATATGAACGAGCAGCATTTGCTTTTTTTACCAATGATCTAAAAGAGTTCAACAAAAATAAAATAAAATAATCAATAATATGTATATTGGTGTCAAATAAATAAGGAAAAAATCAACGATGTAAAAAGAATAGAGTACGACAGGATACTCTTTGTTTAGCGTCTCGTCGGTCAATGCTGATTAAAGTATATATTGCTGTTCTGACCGTCGAGAAACATCTAGTAGATACGCGATAACTTCTTTTTTTCTCTTCCATATTCTTTTTCCGGAAAAGAACTGAGAAAGAATCTGTTATATATTGATCTCATACGTGATCAAGAGATATATGTACAACAGCGAATATCGGATTGGATGAAATTCGGCAAATTAATATGAATATTGTACCTCTTTGCTGATGACTAGTTAGCTAATTTCGAAATTTATCCATATTATTAATTATGGAACTCTACAATCCAGAATATTCTTAAGTGACCAAACAATCAAGAAAACTTTTCCTTTTCAGGTCATATCTTGGTTTTTTTCTCTTTCTCATTCTTTTAACAGTCGTCGTCGACAGTTGTACGTCATTGTTAATAAGCTTGTGACGTGGACGTGGACGGAGAAAGTTCTAGTGTGTTTGTCTCGTGACTCATCGTCATAAAGCAGTATAAAAGGACACGTTTTTTACAGTCTATTTCATTTTCATTGCGCCAAATAATTTCTTATTTATTCACTTTATTTAATTCATATTAAATCGTAAGAAACAACAATCATGCAAATTTTCGTCAAAACGTTGACTGGCAAAACTATTACACTTGAAGTTGAACCAAGTGATACTATTGAAAATGTTAAAGCTAAGATTCAAGATAAAGAAGGTATTCCACCAGATCAACAACGATTAATTTTTGCTGGCAAACAACTTGAAGATGGTCGTACACTTAGTGATTATAACATTCAAAAAGAAAGTACTCTTCATTTGGTACTTCGTTTACGTGGTGG